AAAAGGGCCCCCTTTGAACTCACTAGTCCCTCACCGTTGCGATGGGAGGTCTGATTCGTAACGTTCTGATATGCCCCGACCGGACGTCTGTGAAACGCGAGCTTTATAGCTAGCTCATCGGATTACTCCAGTATTAATACATATTCTGATTCTGATTAAGAGATGAAATACAGAAGAGCGTGAATTACAAAGTGTGTCAACAAGACAAATCAATTTGCTCGAAGTCTAAGTGGAACGCTTAAATTTACGATCACGCAAAGCATAGGGGAACCCCCCCCCCCCCCCCCCCCACGTGCGTCAAATAATTCAAAGTGACAGTGACAGTTAATTTGTTATACAGTTGATAGGTCTTTGTTATTCCAAACTCAATATCTGTTGTCTGTTTAACACGTAGGCTTTCTTGACCAATATCATCCATAATAGAGGTTTTGGGTTAGATCGCGTAAATATATAAATGTGTCGTAAAAACCCGCCACCACCTGACACAGCCAACTAGTAAGGGTTGTCACGTAAACAGGACGTGGCCAATTCGTTACTAGCACAGCAACACCGGTGTGTTGGAGAGTCAAGCCACAACATTTACAATCTGAGTACGACGTTTCGCCAATAATCACAACTAGCTTCATCAGGCGACAGCCAGATTTGTGGAGAAGTCTTACTGTTTCGTCTCTTATATAGAGGTGGAGATGTGTTGACCACGCTTCTGCGATCTTGCACAATGTGTGTGGGGGGGTGGTTACTAAGGCAACGTACATTATGCATGTGCATTATGCGAGCCCATTGAACTTGTCCTTCCTGTCTATTGTGTTGATTAAAATAGCCCTACCAACGGTAGTACTCTGCCATTTGTAAGCATGCATTTGAATAATGTATTATTTTATTATTCGCTTCCACTCAGCACTAAGGCGGTAGTTATCCGAACGGTTAAAGTTATTTTTATTTACTTAAAACGAAAAAAAACCCGTACATTGTTGGAGTAACTGATAAACTAGCCAGATGTTTGGAAGAACAAAACATCCGAGTCAGATTTGGCATAGTACAAATAATAGAGAAATTAATAACTGGTACAAAATATGTATTACCGAAGCTATCAACAGAAGGTGTGTACGTGTAGTAAATATTATGTTGGGCAAACAGGACGAATGATCAGCACGAGACTAAAAGAACATCAGAGAAATATAAAATGATCCCAAATACAACTGTCAGCAGTAGCAGAACACGCGTGCCAACAAGGACACTCAATTGATTTTGATAATGTTGAAGTTTTGTGCAAAACTAGCTGCTAGTGGCCAAGACTAATTAGATAATCTATCGAAATTGAAAGAAATCAAAATAACTTTAACCGTTCGGATAGCTACCGTCTTAGTGCATGAGCACATCAATGGCCATGATGATGATGTTAAGTTTCATATATATTCAACGTAGTACTGTATATACTAATATAACCGCCCCCCACATATATATCTGCACCACCAGCTTTCAAAACGTTCACATTTTGACTGCTAATGTCACAATGTAAAGTGAATGAGTTTGTGAAATTAAATGTGACGGTGGCTGCTACGTCACAGAATCAGTTTATTTCACATCATTTGTTTCGACCTTCTCAATGTTGGCCTGTGCAATGGTTCGCAAGTTGGACTTGCAATCTGCGCTCGCGCTGGATCCAGCCACATTTGCCAATGCGATTTGTAACGTTGGTTCTTACCCATGTATCGATAGTTCAATTTTAATGTGCAATTTAATTGAGGAACTGTGTGTTGTCTTGGTGTGGTCTGGAACTATTTTTGTTGTTGTTTTGCTGCCTTGCCAAATTTATACTTCTATACTGTAGTTATACTTTGATTTAAAGCTTTCGTGACTGCAGGGATTCATATTCTTGGATCTTTCGGTAAAGTCACGTAGAAGGGAAACAATAACATAATTAAAATATAAAACAATAAAATTCTCACGACGTTTCGACTGCAACACAAGCAATCATCATCAGGTGTGAAAAACACCGCAAGAAAATTTGAAAAAAGTGGCGGGTTTTTTTAACGTTAGCACCACAGAGAGAGATTTGACAGTTTGTTCAGATGGATGAGTCCATCTATGTTCGGAAAAGAGGAGTTATACTTATACTTATTCATAGCGATTATTTTGCACCTCCTCTCTTGCTGAACCCGTGCCCCTACTGGACATCTGCGACAAAGAGCTTCAAAGCTCATCGGATTCCTCCTCCAATCTAAATAGAAATTCTGGGGCCATCCATTGAGTACGCACGCACGGAGGGGGGAGGGTGGTTAACCCCAATGCGTACGCTTGCGTATGGGGGGGTCTACTGACAATGTACGTACACATAGGAAACGGGAGGGGGGGGGGTGAAGCCTCGATAATAATTTGTCTACATTGGCCTTCAAATGAGTTAGATAGTCCGGCGGTGGACTATCTGTTTGCTTAAACACGTCAACATTATTAATCCTTGATCGTTTCTGCGTGGATTAAATATCGTCCGTTCTATATGATTCGGGGGGGGGGGGGGTGCGTCAGGCGTACGTACGCAGGTGGGGGGGCGGGGGGGTGAAAAAAGTCCACGTGCGTTCAGGGAGGATGGAGGGGTCAAGTTTTGGCAGATTTTTGCGTACCTACTCAATGTATGGCCCCTCTGATTCTGCAATCCAGAGGGTCGCCAGCCAGTTCGAGTCCGTCCTCCGGCGCGACAGTGGAAACAACGCGGCAAAATTTCTCAAATATTTACCCGTGCAGCTACGGCAACACGTGTGGCGGTAAACGAGGGTCAGAGGGCTGGCATTGCTCCTATGGCCCGTCGGACGATGGTAACCCAAAGCGTAACCGGAGTGGCGTTCTTGTTTCTGACCCTGAGGTGCGTGGGCCCTTGACTTTATGTACACTGATCAGAAGATACTTCTTCCCCCGTGTGTACTGTGGGCTTGATCCCACTGTTCTCCCTTGTTCACTGTGGGCTTGATCCGACTTTTAGCCCCGTGTTCACTGTGGGCTGGACCCCGTGGTTCACGCGCACGTTCAATCCCACCGTGGGTCGTTTCTATCCCCGAGGAGTTTGCAATGTGCTGTAATGTATCACATATTTGACTATTGTAAACTCAGATATGTATTTGTTATATGTACCCTGCAGTTTGTTAATATTTCTTGAAACTAAATCATTGGTGTAATGAGCACGTGTTTAAATCTTGACTTAAAGCTTTCGTGACTGCAGGAATTCATGTTTTGGGTCTTTCAGTAAAGTCACGTAGATAGGTTCAAAGAAAATAACATAAGACTACAATTTTTATTTTCTTGGAATCTATCTACGTGACTTTACCGAAAGACCCAAAGAATATGAGCACGTGTCTACCAAGGGTATTTATATTATGCGATAATCTATCACAGACTAAACCATATAGCAGCAACTAGCTGCAAGCGCAAGGTTGTCGTAGTCAATATAATGATCCATATTTGTTTTTGGGTAAGGCCACGTCATAGTGATTCATGACAAGCATTACAACTATCACGTGCTCTAGCACGAAAAGAAATATTGATCAAAATTGCAACTGTTGCTAAGTCATGATTTTTTTATATATATTACCATGGTCATTCAAGTGAGCGGTGGCGCTTTGGTTGACTCACTATAGCTGCCAGAGTTCGATGCCGGGACACGGATGACATCAGTTGGTAAGTTGATATCTGAACCAGTTCCGGGGGCCATCCCCCTTCTTCACCAACGCCGACTGACCAGAGTGGAGAAGTATGGTCAAATATGGCCAAACAATCATCCATGATTAAAAAATAGCTGAAAATGAAGAACTGGTTGTCTTAGGATATATCTGCGAAATTAATTAGGCGTACTGTACGTTACACATTACAAATACGCTATAGCCAAAGACACAGGTCCCCCTATAGCCTTAGAATACTTTTGGCAAGTGGTGTTAGCGAGGGGGTAGGTGTTCAGCACCACGCCAGGCCGCCTTTGTCTCCCTAGTAGTGATGTGTACACATAAACACCAGGTACTCGTGTAAAGTCGACCTAGGGGAGGCCCAGGACCGGTTCAGATATTTGTCACCGATGTGGGTCGTGAACGGTGTTCGTAGCGCATTAAGCTACCCACTACACTACCGCTTCCCCACAGACACACACAAAGCCGTCCCATGTGTCCGATCACATTCAGAAAACCAAGAGGAATAATTTCATTCAAAATGTGCCATTTATTCACGAACGTTGTGTGTGTTTATATAACGCGATTTTTCTCTAAAAATCTTTGGTCCGCAGTAGCACGGAATACAGACACAGTGAAGTAATACAAGGGGCATTGCCACTGCTGGTCTTGATGCTCACGAGATGACAACGCCACAACACATCCGACCTCCAGCACGCCGCGTCACAACAGCACCATACGATACACGGACAACTTTAACAACACACACGCACACACGCGGAGTGGACACGTTCATACAAGCACGGCCAATCAACACTTATATATATACCAATCTATATTGAGATGCCGGACAAATTCTCTTGTGCGAAGGTATTCAACTTCGATTCATCACCATCATAATTATCATCGTCGTTATTATTCTTATATACAACCGGTACAATCGCTCTCGAAATTCGCAAGACTACATTAATTCTTGCTGTTGGTTGGTGTCGTTGAATAATATAAGTTCATTTTAAAAGTACACGCGGCGAGTCTTGCAAATGCGCCAAGGATCCAGCAGGCGATTAATCGTCGTCATCACCCCCGTTGGCATCATAACCATCACCGTCAATGCCAAGACAGGGCCCGTCGGTGGCATCTTATTCTTCTGCTGCGGAATAGCTCGGCGCCTCGGAGTCGATTACCGCTCCTTGTACCAATTAAATTAGCGCTTCCAGAAACAAGGCTTCCCACTCTCGCTTAACACACGCTGCCCCCCCCCCCCCAACCGGCCTGAGACAAAGGCCCCCACCCCTCTTCACCTCCCCCAACCCTCGTTAACCCCCCCCACTCCACCCCCCCCCCCCCCACGTTCTACATCGCCGCGTCTTGCAGCCCCCTAATGGCTCTCATAATGTCCGTCGTGTCATGCTGCTGCCAAGCGCGGCCGCCGTCCTCCTCCATTCATTGGTGACCGGGCTGGCTCTCACCACTCAACCTCACTCACTCCGCGTTCCCGCGGCGGGTCCCGTGGCGAGATCGTTTCAAGGTCTCCGTCCTCTCTCTCTCGCCATCTCTCTATCTCCAATCTCTCTCGCCATCTCGCCATCTCGCTCGCTCGCCAGCTCAGTCGCTCATCTCGTCACGGTCTCCTTCTCCCGCGTGCGACGTGGTGGAGTGATTGTAGAGGCCCTGCGCGAGCAACTGCAGAGCCAGTTCGTTGCGCACGCCGTTCGCCTTCTTGAGCTTGGCGCGCTTGTTCTGGAACCAGATCTTCACCTGCGCCTCGCTCAGCTGCAGGTCCCTCGCCAGCGCCTGGCGCCGGGCTTCGCTGAGGTAGCGCGATGCCTGGAATTCGGCCTTGAGGCGCGACAGCTGCTCCGGTGTGAAGGCGGTGCGCGGCCGCTTGGGTTCGCAGCCGCCCTCGGCGCGCTTCTTCGCCTTGCGGATCCGCGGGCCTGCGGGATGGGAACACAAAGGGGTGGTGGGTGGGTGTGTGTGGGGGGGGGTGTGAGGTAGGAGCCGGGTCACATTCGCTTACACACACACACACACGCAACGGTCTACTGTGCATGTATACGTGTGCTGCACTTCTTTCGCACCGTGCGTAGCCTATCGCGATGATCGCAGGTGCGGAATGCACGCGGCGAATTCGCTGCTGGATGATAATGCGGCACCAGCCGCTCTGGCGGTGGGGATTTGTTTGGTTGTTATAGGCTCACGGGCCACAACTCCCGAAGCGCATTCGCACAAAGCGTGGCGGATAAAAAATTTTAAACAACATCGCCAGTGAGCCGCCGCCATTGTGTTCACTACCCAGACTATAACCATAGAAAACACAGGACTCAACGTCAGATTTACAAATACGGAGGAGGCAGAATAATCACAACAGCGATTGCACGGCTCCGCTACTCCTGACGCAACCATCTGGGCTCAACCACCTCGATGTAAAATTATAGCTGTTGCTCTACATCAGCCGTATGCAGCGGAAGCAGACGCCACCACGTTGTGTCAGTGCGGGGATGGTGATGGCTAGGGGATGGAAATGAAAGACCCAGGAGTAGTTCAGATCTTCTACATCAACATCGGCTGGAACCGAACTCGGGTAGCCGAGTTCATAACCCAGTGCGCGCTAACCACCGCGCCTCCCCCATGCTTGTCATAGATAGGGGGGGAATACGAAACTCCCGCGGCTCAGAGACTGGAGAATCGCGGATGGGCTTTGTGTGCGCCCCGCGCTTTAAGGAGACGAATTGGAAGCTCCGCCGTTAAATGAGGGTGGGGGGATTAAAGTCACCCAGGAAAATATCGCTGCGGAAGTAGCCAAGATTCGCAATTGCAGTGGTGTTTGTGTAAAAAGAAAAGTCGTAAAAATCGGTCAGACTATCATGGATAAGTAAAAAACATTGTTGTTCTTAATTTTAATCGCAGTATTGTAACCGTATTATTCGTTTTCATGCAAATATGATTATAATTCGCGGTCCTGGTGGATTATGGGTGATACATAATAAAGACATACACATGGTAAATAATATAAAGAATAAACATGGGAGAAATCAACTACAACAATTTAAGTAACATTTTAATCCATGGCTTTTACATAGGCCTGTCGGAACAATGTTCTCAAGCTGAACGTGTTTACTCGCTGAACGTGTTTACTCGCTGAACGTGTTTACTCGCTGAACGTGTTTACTCGCTGAACGTGTTTACTCGCTGGACGTGTTTACTCGCTGAACGCGTTTGGATCGTGCTGTTTCCACTTTCAGAGGCTCAGCAGCAGCAGCACGTGGCCTGTTAAAAACTAAAATATTAACTATTTTTCTTTATTGCACCAGATAAGGCCCACTGAGCTACATAGCTCTTTTTCAAAAGCGACCTGGTCACAAATAATAGCTCAATGAAGTGGCTTTTCATAACTTGAAAATTTATAGCAGCCAAATACTCTAAATGCGTGTTGATTTTAAGTGGAAGGAAAAACCGAAAGACCTGGAGAAAAATCCGCACGACCACTGAGAGAGAGAACACGCAAACTCCAAATATACAGGCGTCAGGGTCGGGATCGAAAACACGACCTCCTGCATACCAGGCGAGGTAGTTAACATCTCGCCACCGCGGCGAGTTAATTCTGCTGAAAACCATTGGCCCCAAAGGGCCATACAGAGGGGGGACAGGTCTGAACGTATATTGCGATTATAGATCTGATAGTCAAAACAGACTCTTGCCTATTCTTGGTTCTTTCGGTAAAGTCACGTAGAAGGGAAACAATAAAATAATAAAAATATAAAGCAATAAAATTCTCACGACGTTTCGACCGCAACACAAGCAATCATCATCAGGTGTGATTGGTCCACACCAAGCCATCCCTTGGTGTGGACCAATCAGTTTCAAGGACAATGCATATATTATCATAGTATCTTTTTTGTTTGCATTTTGACTGCAGGTATTGTGGTTAATGCAGACATGAATCCTCGTAAAAAGGTTTCAGTTTTGTTGCCAGAAAAAAAAGGGGAAAAACCCTATTATTACATTTTGGTACTGGCAAAGGAGGTCTAATGATATTTATAAGGGTTTGAAATGGGTTTAGCCCAAATGTCAGCAGCCAATGATAATGTAAGTGGTGGGCAGAAAACGGTGGCTGGTTTTCCACCAATCAAAGGGCTGCCAGGTGAAAATTAGCACGTTAATGAGAGATTAGCATATTGATAGCAGAATGCAGTGCCGCAACCAAGGGGTGGGCGCGCGAAGTAGTTGTGCAAGTGTGAACCCTGTGAACGCGCAAGTTTTAAATGGACATAAAGCACAACGAACATCGGAAGGTGGTAGGATGGGAACATCATAGCCAGTTATGACTTAAACTGGTTGATAACGTCCTTCCAATGATTGCTCAGTTTGTATCCAACTTCTCGGTTTAAATTGTGTCTATATATATGGATGGCTTCATGAGCTAATCTTTGTTGATAGCCTTGCAAAGTATCTTCGTCTTAGAGACATCAATTTCGTGTGAACCCACCGCATTAAAACAATGATCAGCCACGGCAGAGGTGTTAGCCCTACCGTGTTTCAGATCTGCCTTAAATTCATGAACACGGTCCGAGACGTGTCGCTTAGTTTCCCCAATGTAACTACTGCCGCAGACACAGCTTAGTTTGTAGACGACGGGGTATTGCCTGTCAGGGATCTTGTCCTTCACAGATGGGATCAGATCACAAATTGTATGTACTGTGTTAAATCGAATTTGGATCTTGTGTTTGCTCATGATTTTAAAAATATTTTTAGTGACCCCTGCTATGTATGGCAAGGTGATGGTTTTGATTGGGTCCTCAGATGGTTCTTTCCCAACGGTTGGGGTGATAGCTTTATGGATTGTGTAGTCTGAATATCCATTCATCTTGAGCGCTTGGTGTACGTGTTCTAGTTCACTGGCTAGGTGATAACGGTCGTAAATACATCGAGCTCTATGGTGTAGAGTTTTGATGAGGGAAAACCAACCACCGTCGGGTTGGCTGTCCACCACTTACCTTATCATTGGCTGCTGACATTTGGGCTACGCCCATTTAGAACCCTTATAAACAGTTTGCCTTGGAAGCTAACCCCCCTGTTCCTGAAGACGACCGCTTGTGTTGCGATCGAAATGTCGTAGTCTTTTTTTAAAATTTTCGTTGAACCTATCTACGTGACTTTACCGAAAGACCCAATAATATGAATTCCTGCAGTCACGAAAGCTTTAAGTCAAGATTTGCACAGTCCGTTGTGCTGACAACCTCGGAGCCACAGTGGCACCGCACTGCTACTTGGGGTGGCCCTGACAGTGCAACGCATTAACTGAGACCCAATGTCCACCTTCCTCCTCGAAGTAGACCCCTGCGGCTGGGTCTCTCCAGCCCGTGGGTGCCCCCCCCACCTCGCAGTTGCACCGTCCTTCACACTCGAGAGCAACGCTACTTTCGTAAACCACGTCCTCGCTTGTTTCATCTCTGCGACGGAGTACGATGCTGTATAACAGGCCGCATTACCCGAAACGTCAGGCCGCTCGCTGTGCACTGCCCTTCTATTTACGGCGGCGTTTGCTCACTGTACTGGAACACGGTGTTTTGTCATGCTAAGTGGGAGGTCAGGAAATACAGGAGCGTGTTCATATTGTAAACAAACGTCCGACATGGTTCTTTACGTATACTGTATATACTTTACCTGTCCATGCCAAGTACACGCGTGCCTACTTACGTACGTGTGCATAGATAGAAGCACTACGATTTTAAAATGTCAGTTAGTGTATGTATATTCGTATCGACTTTGGTCGTGTTATATACCCCTGCGCATTAGAACCCTAACTGAGATAAGAGTGATTGATTTAAATCATACGTACGCTGAGAAATCGTGTTATTATTAATTGTACAAGCATTGCCCGTTCAAGTTTGACTAAAGTTTGCAATTTATGAATGTGGTCGGAGTTTACAGGCCTGTACCTATCCACTGCTGTATGCAGACCTCCCACGCCATAACGGCTATGGGGGGGTGGGAAAGAGGTTGACTATATTTCACCACTCTGCTGGTTACGGCACGTTGATGAACGCGGAGTGGACCAGAACCCGGTTCAGATATCACTCGCCACTGATGTTAGCCGTGGCCAAGGAGTGGTGCGCCAACCACTACGCCACCACTCACTCCCTCATCGCTTCATACAGTGCGAGTGATGAAACAGGATTTTGTGAAATAAATCATCACAGTGTCACGTGCCAAGTGTCTCCCTGCTTCGAAAACAAAATTGTGGTGAAGCCTCCTTTCCGTTTGGGACTCTCAGCCATCGGTGGTAGAAATTCAACATTCCTGCGGTTGAGGCTAGTCTCTATACAAGACGACTACGGTTGACCTCCTGCAACATGGAACTCGCTTATCAACCACGGAGTAATTGATGGGCTGTGCTGGCCACCAAACCCAGAATTGAAGTCACGGCCTTCTAAGTGCGAGAGACTTCTGCAGCACCCAACCTGCCGTGGATTGTGACGTCTGTGAAAAAGAGCTTCATAGCTCATCGGATTCCTCCAGTCTAAATAAAGATTATGATTCTGAGTGGGAGATCGCTAGAGATAGGCTGCAGGTAGCATTCGAGTGAGATGCACGCCTCCTTCATTGCAAAATACACCTGCGAGATGAAGTGTATTACAAAATACGGGAGGATAATTACACATTTGGAAATCAAAACAATGATTGTAACGCCAAAATAACAAAACAAAAAGTACAAACGCATAACTCAAATAAACACACGTACAGGCAACACGTTTCACAAAATGTTTGCCAATGAGACAATTAAATAAAATTAATGATACAATTACAGAAACAGTTATACGTCAATTGATGTACGTGTATGCATGTATACACGTGTTTGTCTAAATGTGGAGAGTGGTAGTGTATTCTCTTAGCACACTACGACACAAACTTGGAAACTCGAGTTCGCTTCCCG